GTACACACACACACGACCCGCCTCGTTATAGGCCAATAATTCTTATTTTCTGATAAACTGGACAAGATTGAAATTGTTCAGTCTGAATGTTCTTATGTTAAATGTGAGTAACATAAGAACATACACGCATACAAGAACATACAATACATACACATCTTCGGCGTTTCTATATGTGTTTATTGGCCATTGGACACCAACCTAATTAGTTAAATATCATATAATCACTTATGGTTGGTTAATCTCAACCATCTAAGGGGCAGTTAAGGTTCCGAAAGCCCGCATTTCGTGACATAATTATTCAAAGCAAGTAATTCCTATGCGATCCCATAGTGCGTCTCTACCTCCCGCGGCCCCACTTGTACAAACAGGACAACAGGTACGGGTTACCTGAGAAGTCTGCTTGCATTAATTATTCTCTAAGATGTATTAAAAGATTGCAATCTTTACTGTCCTGAAGATGCTTTGCCACGGCCTTTATTATATTCCGGTAATTAATACGCTCATTATTCCTTGATTTTGTCCCAGCAGCTTATCTATAATATAAGAGTGTGTGAGTGTGTGTACTCACCTAATTGTGCTTGCGGGGGTTGAGCTCTGGCTCTTTGGTCCCGCCTCTCAACCGTCAATCAACAGGTGCACAGGTTCCTGAGCCTACTGGGCTCTATCATATCTACATTTGAAACTGTGTATGGAGTCAGCCTCCACCACATCACTTCCTAATGCATTCCATTTACTAACTACTCTGACACTGAAAAAGTTCTTTCTAACGTCTCTGTGGCTCATTTGGGTACTCAGCTTCCACCTGTGTCCCCTTGTTCGCGTCCCACCAGTGTTGAATAGTTCATCCTTGTTTACCCGGTCGATTCCCCTGAGGATTTTGTAGGTTGTGATCATGTCCCCCCTTACTCTTCTGTCTTCCAGTGTCGTAAGGTGCATTTCCCGCAGCCTTTCCTCATAACTCATGCCTCTTAGTTCTGTGTGTGTGTGTGTGTGTGTGTGTGTGTGTGTGTGTGTGTGTGTGTGTGTGTGTGTGTGTGTGTGTGTGTGTGTGTGTGTGTGTGTGTTTGAAGTTGGAGGCCAGACGCTTGAGGCTAGTCTCACCCAAATTGGCAGAGGGAATGGTCTGGGGTCCGGGATGAACATAGGCTAGTTTGTGTCGCTAGACAAAAAATAGCCTATGTTCATCCCGGAACACCCTCCCTCCCCAACCCCACTAACCACCCCACCCCCCCACTAACTCCCTCCCCACCCCCACTAACACCCCACACCCCCCACTAACTAACCCTCCCCACCCCCACTAACACCCCACCCCCCACTAACTCCCTCCCCACCCCCACTAAAACCCCACCCCCCCACTAACTCCCTCCCCACCCCCACTAACACCCACCCCCCCCACTAACTCCCTCCCCACCCCCACTAACACCCGCCCTGGTAAACGCGGGCAGTGAGGGAGAAGAACTGCACAACCATCCACAGGTGCGCTTGTTCCATCCTTAATTGACCGCATAATACCATCATTATCAGACGAAGTGGTTACTGCTACGAGGCCGTCCACGTGCTGCTACGAGAGCACAGTCTCCAACAACACTCAAGATAACCCCGAAGGTAATCTCAAGGTAACCTCAACAATCGTGGATTGATTAAATCCACGATAAATCCACTAAATTAAAAATGATGACTCTGCCATCATTTCCGAGAAGTATTTGGGAAGACCAGATAGGGACATCAATTGACCTTTATATCATCGAAATTAAGTGATAAAGTCAATATAATGTCTAGAAGGGTTCGTCAATTATTTCCAGTTGACGCATATCAATTAGTTTTGCCAGATTTAAGTCGCCGAATCAAAGTTGGATTAAACTACTTGTGTTAAACTTGGCAACATTTGATATGGTAATTTCGTTCGGGCTGTGATTCAGTTCCTTTGCACTCAAATTACACGTTGTTGGGATAAAATGAAGACTGTAAACATACAAGGACCGCCTCTCGAGGCAGCAGGAATAGTCGAGGGAGCCTAGAACCTTTCACAGCGGACCCCAGGACCGTCTAAAGGAGCTGGGATACATCGACAGTGGTCCTAGGGGTCCTTTTAGGACTCTTGGAAGCAACCACAGCGGACCCAGCTCAGGTGTAAGGGGCTGGGACCCTCCTTGGCAGCCCCTGGACCCATGTCGAGCACTCGGACCCCTCCTCGGCAAAACCAGGATCCATTTAGGGCACTGGGACCCTCCGCAACAGACCCCGGGGTCCTAGGGGGCCTTTTAGGACTCTTGGAAGCAACCACAGCGGACCCAGCTCAGGTGTAGGGGGCTGGGACCCTCCTCGGCTGCCCCTGGACCCATGTCGAGCACTCGGACCCCTCCTCGGCAAAACCAGGATCCGTTTAGGGCACTGGGACCCTCCACATATGACCTTGGTCCTGTTTAGGGCACTGGGACCCTCCACAACAGACCCCGGGGTCCCGTGAAGGGCGCTGTGAACCCTCGACAGAGTGGGGCCCCACACAGCATTCCTCGTCTAATGCCATCGTTTTGTTTTTCCTGACACACTCATTAACATTGCATTCCTAACCATCTGTAATTCGCGAAAAAAAAATTACCATGCGGAGGAGGTTAATTTTAAAAGTTTCCTGTTTTTATTTTCGCGAGCGTCAGGTCGACCTTTGCGGTTATGGAGCGGGACTAGTGTCGACTCTAAGCTTACGTTAACGGGAAATGGAAGATTTTTTTAACCTGTAATCTTTATTCTGTATACGGTAGACTTGCATATTTAACCTGCATCTTTTATTCGACGTTCCGATGACACACACAATGCACCAATGTTGTTTCCTCGAACAATAAGAAACTTGATATGATTGTATTCCACCGCGCCGCCCTCCCCCCCCCACACAACATGGATGGGTTTGGGGTTCATAACTGTTGTAGAACATATGTAACTGGCTTACCATAGACTGTTTTGGTGGTCCAGTTCTTGAACCAGTTGTGGCGTTGATACATATGTATTACAATTGTGTGCGTGTAGCTTTTCAAGATTGTAATTTTTTTAGATAAATGAATTTTGGGATTCAATCGACTTGAGAATGGTCCAGGACGGACCGAAACGTCGTCGTCCCTTCAATTTCTAGTGTGTGGTCTGGTCAACATACTTCAGCCACGTTATTGTGACTCATCGCCTGCATTTGGGATTCAGTTCCACTTCCGCTCACAGGAATGGGTATGGGGTCCATTATTGCCTACAGGATGGGTATGGGGTACACTACCGCCCACAGCATAGGGTATGGAGTCTACTACCTCCCACAGCATGGGTCTGGGGGTCTACTATCACCCACAGCATGGGTATGGGGTACACTACCGCCCACAGCAGTATGGGTCGCCCACAGCATGGATCCACTACCGCCCACAGCATGGGTATCGGGTCCACTACCGCTCACAGCATGAGTATGAGTCCACTATCGCCCACAGCATGGGTATCGGGTCCACTATCGCCCACAACATGAGTATGAATCCACTACCGCCCACAGCATGGGGTATGAGGTCAACTACCGCTCATGGGCTGGGGATACGACGCATAATAAATTAAAAAAAATGAGAATTATCCTTGGGTAAGGAGTACTTGACTGCGCCTCACAACACGGTCTGGAAATGAGACACACTGAGGCTATAAATATATTAATATTCACATCATTTATCTACTGAAATATTGTGTTGGTTCTGTGGAATTCTGTTGGTGATGCTATCTGTGATGCTGGTGGTGATGGTGGTAGTGTTATCTGTGTTGGTGGTGATGGTGGTAGTGTTATCTGTGTTGGTGGTGATGGTGGTAGTGTTATCTGTGTGCTGGTGGTGATGGTGGTAGTGTTATCTGTGTTGGTGGTGATGACACTCCACCACCAACTACACAGATGACACCACCAATTACAAAAATGTATTTCTGCAACATGTTAGGTTACAGAAGGCGTTCTGTAATATCACAAGTTACAGAAACCTTCCTTTCAATGAGCGTAGTTTCGAGTTTTAACCGATTGGTCAATTCCGTAAACAATGCGACGTATTAGATAAGAGGTCGGGGTTGTTGTTGTTGTTGCAACATGCTCCAAACATCTTAAAATCTGTCTTAAGTAGTAATTATTACCCCCTCTTAAGATTCCAGTATAAAATTTTTGATGGGTGGACGTTTTTAAACATCCACAGAAAACGTGATGAAGATCTTAGATCTTTGTGCCAAATGGCGATGGTATTAGGTCTTGATTTAATCACATTAGGTTCGATCCCCCGGGACAGAATTGGGTGGGAATGTTTCCCCTTCACCTGATAACTCTGTTCACCTGAGAGTTAGGCAGCTGTTGTGGCCTGCATCCTGGGGAGAGTTCGACCATGAGAGGACTTCGATAAGTACCTGTTTTCTTCTCACCGACAATGGGAATTATTATTATTATAATTATTATTATTATTATTATTTTTATTATTATTATTATTTTTATTAATATTAATATTATTATTATTATTGTGTGTATGAGGCAGCTTTTAGCTATAGCGAGAATGAAGGGATGTTCAGTCGGTATTGTGTTGCGTGCTGTGTATACCTTTATATACGTGTTGTGTATACCTTTAAATACGTGTTGTATATATCTTTAAATACGTGCTGTATATACCTTTAAATTCGTGCTGTGTATACCTTTAAATACGTACTGTGTATATCTTTAAATTCGTGCTGTATATACCTTTAAATATGTGTTGTATATACCTTTAAATACGTGCTGTATATACCTTTAAATACGTGTTGTGTATACTTTTAAATACGTGTTGTGTATACCTTTATATTCGTCCAGTACGTCCAGAGACTGTAGTAATTACCGTTCATACGTTCAGAGTGTCTGTTTTACCGTTCCTACTTCCAAGGCCTCTTGTTCTAAAGCGCATACGTTCAGAACCTCTTGTTTTACAGCTCATACGTTCAGAACCTCTTGTTTAATAGCTCATACGTTCAGAACCTCTTGTTTTTCAGCTCATACGTTCAGAATCTATTGTTTTACAGCGCATACGTTTAGAACCTCTTGTTTTACAGCGCATACGTTCAGAACCTCTTGTTTTACAGCTCATACGTTCAGAACCTTTTATTTTACACCTCATACGTTCAGAACCTCTTGTTTTACACCTCATACGTTCAGAACCTCTTGTTTTACAGCGCATACGTTCAGAACCTCTTGTTTTACAGCGCATACGTTCAGAACCTCTTGTTTTACAGCGCATACGTTCAGAACCTCTTGTTTTACAGCGCATACGTTCAGAACCTCTTGTTTTACAGCGCATACGTTTAGAACCTCTTGTTTTACAGCGCATACGTTCAGAACCTCTTGTTTTACAGCGCATACGTTCAGAACCACTTGTTTTACAGCGCATACGTTCAGAACCTCTTGTTTTACAGCTCATACGTTCAGAACCTCTTGTTTTACAGCGCATACGTTCAGAACCACTTGTTTTACAGCGCATACGTTCAGAACCTCTTGTTTTACAGCTCAAGGGCCGTTTTTCTCCTTTATCTGCTTTCAGAAACATTTAATCACGAGACTGTCCAAACCAATTTCACTTGTGTCAGTCATGTAACTCCCTCTACTTACTTCCTTATGTAATACACGTTAATAACATGAATTATCGCTCATTTTCTCCAACTTATCATTCGCGACTGTTTGCCCTCTCCAGAAAAATGGTTCTTAACTGTTTTGCATCTTAGGAAATTGTCTCAAGAAAGTGTTTTGACTTGGTCTGCATGTTAGGAAATTGTTTTGACCTGATGGGCATCTCAGGAATTTTTTTCAACCTGAAGTGCATCTCAATCATCACCTGACTTCAACATCTTATAGTTGAAGTTGACTTCAACATCTTGTACCCCTATTATCAACATAATAGGGGCACTTCAACACTTGTACCCCTATTAGACTGTTTTACAGGAACTTCTTTTCGACAGCTCATAAAACGGAAGAAAGTGTCCTGAAAGATATTATTAATAGAAACGTTATCCCTACAGACACAACTCAGAAAATACAAATTGACAATTTACTACAAAAGCAAAAAAAAGGCCAACCTACTCATGAAAAACTCCCCAGACACCAAACAGAACGCCTTGAAGGAAACCAACGTCGTCTATGCCTTCACATGCCCACTTGGGGACTGTAAGCCCCAAAGATCTCAGTATATAGGCAAGACAACAACGTCTCTTTCTAGGCGATTAACAATGTACAAACAACAGGGCTCCATCAAGGAACATATAATTTCTTCTCACAACCAGACCATCACCAGAGAAATCTTAGCAAGCAACACAGAAATCATCGATAGATACAGCGATAGCAGGAGACTCGACATCAGCTAGGCACTACACATCAAAACGTCAGCACCAGCAATCAACAGCCAATTAATGCATAACAATATTCTACCCACTTCAAGACCCCGAACCAACATAGAAGCAGCAAAAGAAAATATGGGCCAATTGGCCTTCTGTAGTTACTTTCATTCTTATGTTTTTAAATCCAATATATACCCATTGATTCGTGTTTTTTCACCTCACCCAAAACATTTGGGTCATATCACCTCACCCAAAACAAATATAAGTGTGACAGTTAATAAGTTTTATTTGTATTGATCACTTTAAGTGCTCTTAAGTGTTTTGTTTTTTAAGCATTTTCCTTTCTTTGATAGGCAATTATATTCAGTATGAGTTCTTTGTTTACTAGTTATTTGATTGTGATTTTTGTTTTTTCTTTTAGATCTGATGATGAATACGAGAAGTATTCGAAACGTTATGCATTTTAAAGTAAAGAATCTGAAACAAGATGTTCAGTATATCCCTGGTTTTCCTATTCATCTTAAAATTAAGATTCCCGAAGGGAACATCGATCATAAAAATATAAGCATGATATATGATATGTGTAGATCAGTCTTTGAAAATGTAAGAAGCCCTTGAGAAACGCTATTAGGCGTCAGACCAAAAATAAAAATGTAACAAAATTATTTTGGATAGTTAATTTTTCAATTACCCTCGACAGTGAAGAAAAACGTAAGAAATATTGAGAAGATTCGTGTTAAAATTATTAATCTTACCATTTCGGCCATATTCAGCAACAATATATATATATATATATATATATATATATATATATATATATATGTGTGTATATCACGAAAATAAACACGTGATTAAGAATGTGACAATGTCAGACCACGAAGGAAAATGAAACAGGAAATTTCCTTAAGTACTTTCGTATATTAAATACATCAGAAGGACCTTCTGATGTATTTAATATACGAAAGTACTTAAGGAAATTTCCTGTTTCATATATATATATATATATATATATATATATATATATTAACTTTCATAAGTCAGGAATCATGCCACCTTCTTTTAATAATTTATAGTTCTTACGTGCAATATTTAACAATATATTACTCTCGGGATTGCAACAGACAGCCAATAATAATATTTACGTTCACCGATATCTCTTACGATTTGACACGTCTGAGATCAAACACACGAACTGTTGTGACCTCTGCTCAAAATGGCAGCATAATATACATCACATATAAGACTACCGGCTCATAACTCTCGACAAGAGATGTTTCAACAAAGCTCGCGTCAGGGCTGCTATACCGCTCCTGTGCCAGGTAAGTCTATTACGGGCTCACCACAGCCCGTGCTACTTGGAACTTTTTGTTCCAAGTAGCGAATCTTAAACAACAACAACAACAACATGCTATACCAGTCCGGTCCACACAAGGACTCATATAATGCCCCAAAGTCACATAAACAGAGGAAATGTATATGTTTATCTCTCAGAATGGTCGGTAATACGTTTATTGCTTGTGATGTGTGTCTATGTATATGTATTAACACGATGGACTGAACGGGGTGAGAATAGCTTGAGCTACCTCATCCCTTTGTGTGTGTATTTTACCTCAATAAACTTATTTCAATTTCAATCTGTTCGTCTTCCTGTATATGGCACCTTCTTGAGTGGATTATACTCGGTAGGATGATGCTTCAAAGGAAACCACTAAACCTCCTGTATCTCTTCCTTCCTAGACCAAGCTCTCGAGCGTCGAGGATCGATCTCCAAGCTGTAACTTATATATATATCATACAAAGAATTAATCATAGAACAATTAGACTCATGTGTGAGTTAAGGCTCGTTACATGGATCTTGGGGTGGGTGGGTGTTGGGGGGGGGGACGTAGGCGTTACACCTGAGTTACCGAACTGCCTCATTCCTCTTCAAAGAGGTTAACAGTTAACATGTCCTGCATGGAGATTATGTTTTAGTACCTCATAGCTCATACTCACGGGGCATCTAACTCCCTCATAGTCTCTAGAGTAGCTGCATTAATGCGGATGAAACGGATGTTTAAAATATATATATATATATATATATATATATATATATATATATATATATATATATATATATATATATATATATATATATATATATATATATATATATATATATATATATATATATTGATCTTGCATCGGCTATATACTCGCTATAACCGCACGCCATCAACGTGCGCACTAACGGCTGCTGCGGGACGCCTCCGCCAATGCACAGCAGCGCTGATGTGACTGTTCAGTATACGCCTCAGCGTCCCATGCGCCCTTGTCTCTACACCTGTGTTGAGCCCCCCTTCCTCCCCCCCCCCCCCCCCACCCAGCGCACAGGTAGTTGAGCGACCGCGTGTGTTGTGCGTCCGGCCTGGCAGCTCAACACATGGCGGGTCTCTCTGGTCGTGCGCTCCGGCCGTCGAGCTACTCGTTAAGCAACTCACTACATCAACAATTTGCAATATTGAACGCCGGTAATCTATAATTATCAAATAAAATCTCTTAAGAACTTAATATCTGACCCGAGTGGCGGGCATAAATCAGTGATCAACCAATCAGGAGAGACAGGTGGACGGCGGGGCTCCCACACAACAGGAACGGAGGGAGCTGATTGGTGGAGGGCAAAGGCAGCGGGGGGCATAACCTTGTGGGGTTGTCGCCGGTGTCCTAATCCAGAGAGGAAACTCTTAATGAGGTGAGTTATTACGTTCATTTTGTCTCTCGGAGCAGCCGGCGGCGGCGGTCGTCGTCGACGCTTGCTCGTGGACGCAATTCCTTGTGTTTACATCTGATGATGATGATGATGATGAGTCGGTGTTGGTCACCACCCGGGCTGGTGATGAACCACTCCCACCGCCCCCCTCCCCCTCTCACTCTACCCCCTTCCCAGCTCTACCTGTCACTGCGATACTCATCTCTTCACTCTCACTAATGTGTTCTTAAAGTATAGCTACATTCTTGCTGTCTGACTGTTTCCTCCTAACACACTCTCTTCCCCCCCTCCCTCTCTCTTACTTCCCTCGTCGTGTCTCTGTCTCACTCTCCCCCTCTCTCTCCCCACTCTCTCCTCCCCCCTCTCCCCGTCCTGGTGTCCCAGGGCGTCGGTGGAGGCATTGTCCTAGCTGTGTGTGTGTGTGCATAACGACTCCCCAGGATTGTCTAATGTCCCCCTGACTGCGAGAGTGATGCTTCCTTGGTCGTGTGGTGGTGGCGGCGGCGGCGCCCTCTGCCTCCAGCGCTTGCTGCTGTCTCCCTGGGCTTTGTCTGCTGACTCTGTTTCTCTTGTGCATTGTCTGCTGCTGACTGTTTCCTCTTGTGCATTGTCTGCTGCTGACTGTTTCCTCTTGTGCATTGTCTGCTGCTGACTGTTTCCTCTTGTGCATTGTCTGCTGCTGACTGGTTCCTCTTGTGCATTGTCTGCTGCTGACTGGTTCCTCATGTGCATTGTCTGCTGCTGACTGGTTCCTCTTGTGCATTGTCTGCTGCTGACTGGTTCCTCATGTGCATTGTCTGCTGCTGATTGTTCCTCTTGTGCATTATCTGCTGCTGACTGGTTCCTCATGTGCATTGTCTGCTGCTGACTGGTTCCTCATGTGCATTGTCTGCTGCTGACTGGTTCCTCTTGTGCATTGTCTGCTGCTGACTGGTTCCTCATGTGCATTGTCTGCTGCTGACTGGTTCCTCTTGTGCATTGTCTGCTGCTGACTGGTTCCTCATGTGCATTGTCTGCTGCTGATTGTTCCTCTTGTGCATTGTCTGCTGCTGACTGTTTCCTCTTGTGCATTGTCTGCTGCTGACTGTTTCCTCTTGTGCATTGTCTGCTGCTGACTGGTTCCTCTTGTGCATTGTCTGCTGCTGACTGGTTCCTCTTGTGCATTGTCTGCTGCTGACTGGTTCCTCCCGTGCATTATCTGCTGACTGTTCCAGACTTGCTTTATTGACTGGTTCCTCGTGCTATCTGAAACTGGCCAATCACGCCAGCTCATTCTGGGTTATATGTATTCAGTAGCGACACGAAGTGTATATACATTGTGTGGTATATATACCTCACATCTCGGTATGTAAACACTGATAGTATACATATTATCTCTGGAATATATCCAAGACCAAAGTATACATGCTGACTGGTCAGAAAACTAATGTATAACATATACAAAGTATTAAGGCGAGTTAATATATA